GACCTTGTCCAGCTATGGCATCCACGGCGTTCCGTGAAAGAGTTCCATCTAGAAAACTCCACTGCGGGATTATTCCCAGCAAATCATACGCGCTAGAGCAAGGATATTAGGAACGGACGAAGACGAGAACACATACCATCCATTTGTACGCTTTGCGAACGCATCGCGAAGAGGTGCTTTCTGTACGTGCCCATAATGGACACTTCGTTAGCGCAAAACTCATTGGGAACATTTCCTGCTTTCAAGAAAGAGCGTATTATAACTTTGGCCGTAAAAAAGTGCATTAGGAAAGGTAAGAAAAGAAAATGTGACGAGGAACTAAAACAAATATTTTAAAAATAAATGAGTTTAAAGAAATAATTGTGTTTTAGGATGAAACAAAAATTGAATTCATTGGCAATAATTCATAACTGAAGACTAAAGTAGGCATTTAGATAAATGTAACCACTGATTCAGCTGGGAAGACTATGAAGGAAAATTTCGGCGTCTATTGTTGCCTAAAAAAGTTGCCTAAATAAAGTTGTTTGACTCCCTTACTCAGCCCAGCAACACGATTTTAATAGATTTCTTTAAAACGTAGCGATTCGAGATCGGTTCGCTATCTTCTTGTGGGGTTGATTTCAGGCAAGGCGCCAGCGTTAGCATCCTCTGAAGGAGTTCGGACCCCTCTTTCGTCGTTCTTTTCACCCTCTCTGTCTCGGCGTTGACTTCACTGATATTTAGAGCTGTGTGCAGTGGTCAACCCACTCGGCTAGAACGTTGGAGTGTCGTGCTCGCTACTGCTTGGGTGACATCCTCAGATAACACGCTGTCCGAGATTAGCGAAATCTAATCATTCGCAGCCCATAGTGCGACCCGTTCGTTGCAATTTCCCAGCTTGTTCATTGCAGCGCCTACGACTGTTTCGGCTGTTAGAAGCGTTGGTGGGAGTGTGGCACTGCACACAAAAAAAGAAAGATAAAAGAACGAAAGAAAGAAAAGTAAAACAAAGGGAATCAGTGGGCCCTCCACGTGATGGAAGCGATGCTGCAAGGTAATTCTCAGATAACGTGCCATTCCTCCGGCAGTGTTTTGTAGAAATATGAACCGTGTTTTTTGTTTTTTTTTTGTTCTTCAGCGCTACAAAACTGACAGCACCTCTGAAGGCCAGTATTTGTTCTGGCTACGGCGACAAACGAGGGAAAAAATACTGGCAGATTCCACGTACCGTGGGAACCAATCATATGCGAAGCACGAATGTCACTTTAAAATGTGCTACTGAAAATCTGTCACTTTAAATATGTCACTTTAAAATCTGCAAAACGTTACGAGGTGGAGGTAAATGATGCTGTGCATGACTTTCGTGTCATAATTATCATGTTCGAATGTGTCGTTCACCTACGTCATCTTTTCACGTCACGTGATACCAAATTCAGTATATGTGGAGCTAGCAAAACGACCACGGGCGAGCTATGAGCGTGGTATGTTGTCAAGTTCTTACATGACCCACATGTCAGGATTATCATGTTTGCACCAGTCATATACTTTGTCATCTATTGACATCACGTAGCACCAAATTTGGTATATGTGGAGCTAGCCAAAGCGCCGCAAGCGCATCATGAAGGGTCCAATATACTCCAATGTAGCGTTGACGCGCACGCACGCTCCATGGGCACAGCGACACTACGTTAGCAAAAGCGGGCGCTCTATAGTCTGACGCCAGGCGCGACCAGCGTCCGTCGGCGTGGCCCCACGGCCACCGGCGCGAAATGCGACATGCTGCATTTCGCGCCGATGTGTTACCCAGACAACACTGCGTCTCCCTGTTTTCGTGGCCGAGGAACGCCGGACACGATGAAACGCGCATGCGTCAAAGCAACGCAGCGCGGCGCGCGCCTGCGAGGATATGGGAGGACCAGTGCCTGGCGTGGCAACGCTGGCGTGACCCGACGAAATAAATGCCGGTGAGCACGCGCACCACGTCACGTCGAAATGTATTGGCGCCTTGACTGTTGCACGTAGTCATGTTCTCGCATGACACGCATCTCATGATTATCATGTTTGCACCAGTCACATACCTTCGTCATCCATTGAAGCTACGCGATACCAAATTTAACACATGTAAAGCTGCCCCGCCGCGGTGGTCTAGTGGCTAAGGTACTCGGCTGCTGACCCGCAGGGCGCGGGTTCGAATCCCGGCTGCGGCGGCTGCATTTACGATGGAGGCGGAAATGTCGTAGGCCCGTGTGCTCAGATTTGGGTGCACGTTAAAGAACCCCAGGTGGTCTAAATTTCCGGAGCCCTCCACTACGGCGTATCTCATAATCATATAGTGGTTTTGGGACGTTAAACCCCGCATATCAATCAACACATGTAAAGCTAGCCAAATGGCCACGAGCGCGTCATGAGTGTGCCATGTAGTCATGTTGTTACCTGACACGCATGTCGTGATTATTACGTTTGTATATGTCATTTACCTATTTCGTCCGTTCGCGTCATGTAAAGCCAAGTTTGGTACATGTGAAGCCATTAAAATGACCGCTAGCGCATCATGGGCGTAGCATGTTGTCATGTTATTACATGACACGCATCTCATGTTCATCATGTTTGCACCAGTCACAAGCATTCGTCATCCATTCACGTCCCGTAATACCAAATTTGGTATATGTGACGCTAGCAAAACGCCCGCGAGCGCGTCATGAGCTTGGCATGTAATCATGTTGTTACATGACATGCATCTCATGATTATCATGTTCGCACCAGTCACATGCCTTCGTCATCCAGTCACAAAGCGAAACGCCCGCGAGCGCATTATGAGCTTGGCATGTAGGCATGTTGTTACATGACACGCATGCCATGATTTTCATGTTACGGTCTCTTGCTCGTGTTCGCCATGCAATCATGTCATACCATATCAGTTTTGAAACAGGCCGTGTGAAGGAAACCACCTCAAGAGCTGCAGGACCGTGAAATGTAAATCTTGTCATTCATGGCGTCTATATCATGATTTTCATATAATGACTAATCAAATATGTTGTTCACACAGTCATGTTATGCCATACCAAGTTTGGTATGGATACCATTATTGAAACGGCAAGGAGAGCTAAAAGTCGTAGGCGGATAGATAGATAGATAGATAGATAGATAGATAGATAGATAGATAGATAGATAGATAGATAGATAGATAGATAGATAGATAGATAGATAGATAGATACGCGCAAAGTCACCGAAGTTCGCTCGGAAATGCTTCACTTTAAAAATGCAAGACAGGCATGTCTGTGTGGCTTGGATGGAGTTCATCTGAAATCATGTGTCATCTATACATGTCGCCCGAGCAGTGCCAAGTGCGATGCTGTGGCGTTATAGAAAAGCGTGTTGCTCTTTATACATATACGCTCGGTAGCGTCCCCTTTTATCACTTGTTTCATGACATCATTCATTTTGCTCGATGCAGCTGGCAACCCATTTGAAAATTCAGCTAAGGCGTGCCTATGTGCGGCAAGAATCATCCTCTGAGCGACGCGCTCCAAAGCAGGTGTAGTTCAAGTTTCACTTTCGCCAAAATGTATTCTTGCATCCTGTTGCACAGTGGCTCCGCCACGTTGCAACATGATGCAAGAATACATTACTACCTCCAGGTAAGCGCTTGCACAACGTTGGATCAACGCCGCAAAGGAGCACAATCCCTCGACGACACGTCCGTGGATATACCGTTGGCCGAAAGTGACGCCACCTTTTTGGACGTGCCGAATGAATGAACATGACATCAACGCCCCGGCTCATGATTCGCTAAAGGCGACGCGGTGTAAGGTGTTATAAGAGAGACAATCATGACGAGACGATTCGTCTTGTCCTGGCCGTAGGCCACAGCGTACGGGTTGCAGTCGCACGAAACCATCCACCTCTGCATTCACTCGGCCAAGTGCTATCCATGTAAAAATGATATATAACCCCGTATTTCGTGCGTCCACGTCAATCTTGGCCACCTCCAGCACGCAATGGCCAGATGCCATAATATCTACCATGCACGATTTCAAATGCAATTTTCTTGTGTGATCAACTCGAGTACGTTGGTTCTGGTTCAATAAACCTGGCTGTACTTTGTTTTATTTCGTATAATTTTTACCCTGTCAGACAGAGATCAGTCGAAGTTGTTTACCTTGAAGCCCTTTGCGATGTACGCGGTGTATACGACCGACGCGGTCTGTGTTCCGTTTCAGAACGTGTTTATTGTTCATTTCTCCCTCTCTGCTCGTGTAGTCGTAATTCTTTCGTTCGGGAAGATGAGCCCCGCCTGCCATCGACTTCCCGCTGTCGTGTCAGGTTTCTTTCGCGCCCCGAACGTAAACACGCCGCACGTGTTCTCACTTGTCTATAAGATTGGCTGGCTTGGGCTGGCTGTGAAACATGCACTAGGAGAAAAAAATGAATTGAGCACCTATTGCCCTGTTGGGAAATCGGAGGTGGGGGGAGAGAAGTGATGGCTGGTGTGTTCTTGTTTGACTTCCTGCTTCTTTCTTTCTTTCTTTCTTTCTTTTTTTGTTTCTTTCTTTCGTACGTTGGCTCTTTCTTTCTTTTTTTCGTTCGTTGGCTCTTTCTTTTTTTCTCAGTTGCTGCACGCAAAAACGATATTGAAGCGTCCATATCCAGGCAAAAAAATGGGGCAACACTAAAGAAAGAATAACCTCAATAAAAGATCCCGTTTGCTTGTCTGAAACAATTGACTGCCGATAAGTCAATAGTGTATTGGTGATTACTGCATCAGTACTACTGCAGGTGACATGAGTTCAGCAAGGGCACTGTAGCCCCTCTATATTCCTACCCGACTTGCGGAATCTGGTATATCTTATTGAGCTGTCGTAGTTGGTCGTGTAATGGTTGCCGCTTTAGTGTCATAAAAAGAGGCCTATACAGCATGATTGTGGGCACATGTCCACTTTCACCAAATTTACACCTTTGGCAATCATCTAAATATGAGGCAGTTAAAATGTGTGACTATGTGTCAAAAAAACGTCGAGTGGACAGCACAGAAACACAGATAAGCTTGTCATTGACCAAATTTACAAAAGTTCTTCCGTAACTGCGTTACCATTGTACCGGTGGCTTCAATAATTATAAGCAGAGTATCATAGGTGGCTGAAGTATTTTACGATGAAAGCTTTTAGCTCAAGACGTCTTTGTGAGCTTGGGTACCAAGGTTATCTACCAAAAGTAGATCTTGAAACTTTATGGGTTGACGGATGAAACAGCGTTCTTGACAAGCCATCTTCTGCCGCGCTTAGCGAGCGACTCGATGCACAGACGCAAGCTGTCGTAACTTCCAGCGTCTTGTTCACCAAAGTAGCTGACCGAGATCCGCAAGCACCGTTCCTAGGATAAGACACTTTGACCGTCTGCTTGACCTCGTGACACCGGAAGTCACCGCCGTCGCTGCAGATGCTTCCCGGACACTTACACTTCACGGAAGCTATTTCCGGTGGTATGCGGCGCGAGTCGATGTCGATGATTCTCGTGAACGTGCAGCTCGCCCTGTTGTCGATGCTGTAAGATTCCGGTCTCGGGGCGCACCGTTCGCTGGAAGTGTCCTGCGATGCGGTCCCGGAGCACTCGCCGAGAAGGCACCTCGCGAGGCACGTGAGAATCAAGACAGCTCCAACTTTATTCACCATGTCGGGTGCCGCTCTAACCTGCACTGCAGAAACGAAGCTATTTCACGCTATCAATATCATGAGAAACGTACATTACATGATCATCTGTATCGATAGGCTAAAACCATCTATGTTCTAGAATGCTGTTATGAATAAACGACAGGTTTTTTCCTCAACTTTAATAGTTTCCTTCAGAACTATCGTTATGAATAAATAGGGGGGCCTTTCCTAACTTTTGTATTTTAGTTTTATTTTACGATACCTCTTGCAATATCGTGAGAAAATCTCATTTTTTGGTCAAGAACAATTGATTATGAATTAATTTACTATCTGAAGTACTCTATCTGGATTGGTCAGGTCTTCCATGATAACGAACTTTTAAGGAAGCTGGACCACGAACCGGCAGTTCTGTAAAAGCGACTACTCATTGCATATGCAAACAAACTTAACTCTCTTCAAACAAGCATTTTTTTCTCGTTATACAGAAAACAAAAACAAATACGAAGTATAGCGTCCTAAGCAAAGCAGCACCTTATCGTAACAATTAAAAGTAATTTATTGTTTTTAATGCTATGTAAACGCTGCATACCCTGTGTGACGCAACAGGTTTATTAGCCGTAAACGTTCATATGAAGAGGATTCTGGACAAGATGGTAGCACTCACATAGTAAGAACAGCTTATGATAATGGGGATTGAAAAGATAACGATTAGGATAATGATCATTATCAAGTAGCGAGATATTACTAGCGTACCTTCGACTTACGCAATGCGGGAATGTTGACCATCTGGGCGTCTATTCGGTCAATTCCCTTCAGTCGATATGATCCATGTCCGGAGGAAAACTACAGTCACAAGCGGAGAAAAGTACTCACTTAGTGTTTCCTAGCGTTCCTTTAGGTAGCACACAGGTGGTTCAAGACGCACGCACTGAGAAGCAAAGTAGTGCTGCCAGTTGAAATAAAGTTGCTTAGGTGCTACTGGCAGGCTAGCTGCTTGCTCATTATCTTGACAACAGCGTGAAATTTAGGATAACATGGAGAAACAGACAATAATACGCAGCACACATCTCCATGTGTGTGTATTTGCCTGTCCACGTTTTCCTATGTGTTGCTGCTACTCAGCTGCTGAAAATATGAAAGCGTACCGAACGTTCCCCTAATTCACTCCAAGACATTGCCCTTGAACATTACGCGATGCTGCTTACTCTCTTTATGATCAGGATTCACAGCACTTATATTGACTGAAGACGTTCTGGGACAACGCGCCGCGTAGCTACCGTCTTTATATAAGCGCCACTTTCTAAGAACACAGCGCTGGGAAATTGGAAAAGCCACACTACCGGGGCTCCTTCTATGTGTCGTTATCATAGAAGAAAAAAGAAAACACGACGAAAAAGTATTACGTCAGTCATTACATTTGCACGACATCGTAGCGAGCGCGAAAGAAGACGGCGTGTACCTGGTTGTGGGAAAAACCATCGTGACGGTACTGGCTTAGACTGGCAACCGGAAAAAGTGGGCCTTGACTTGGCACTGTACGGGTTGTAAATGCCGTGGCGCTTAGCAAAGATCTATTTTTGTTGTACAGGCTGGGGACTGATTTTCTAGGAGTTGAGGGATCAGTACCGATGTGTCGTCCAAACTTAAATAACGAAATTGCAAGCTCCTAAATGTTTCTCTTCAACAATGTGGCTAAATGATGCAAAACAACCGCTCCAATGCTTTTGGCATGTTTTTTCCTGGCATGAAGAAATACGACACATAAGCAGGTTAGGTAAATGATGTTAATAAATAATTGTTAGGTTTCACCCGCCAAAACCAGGATAGGATGGTACAGTCGCCCGAACCTCAAGGTATTCTGCACGAGCAACAATATGTTTCAGTGTATCTTCACCACACGTCTGATTTAAGATGGAAAAAGGTTGATAAAAGCGTTCATGTCCGCAAAACACTTCTTTTCCACTTCATTTGATCATGCGGCACTGACAGAAAAAAATGTTGCCGATGCGGATGATAGTCAGAATTGGGCGGCTGTGTGTAGTATTCAAGTAGTTCAGAAATTTGAACCATACTTAATTGATTTGAGTGATAAGTGGGGTTCAACATCCCAAAACCACCATATGATTATGAAAGACGCCGTAGGGGAGGGCTCCGGAAATGGTTTTTGTACTGCCTCCAGGATCGGAGACATTGTAACGTTTGCGCGCCTCATGCGTTGCTTCCGTAATTGGCCCACTTTCGAACAACCAAGAATGTAATGTGATTACTTCATAATGCGACGTCACACAATTCACGCCATGGTGACATTGCATGTTTCAATTCTTTATTGATCGATCTGTGGGATTTAACGTCCCAAAACCACCATATGAGTATGAGAGATGCCGTAATGGAGGGCTCCGAAAATTTCGACCACCTGGGGTTCTTTAACGTGCATGCAAATCTGAGCAGGCGGGCCTACAACATTTCCACCTCCATCGGAAACGCAGTCGCTGCAGCCGGGATTTGATCCCGCTACCTACATGTCAGCAGCCGAGTACCTTAGCCACTAGACTACAGCGGCGGGGCGTGTGTCAATTCTTTTAGGGGCGAAGCTCCTTATAACGGCACCCACTCGTCCCTCGTATGCGTTGTAGTATATATGTAACAAGTATAATATTTTTACCTCCAAGGTGGTGCCGTTGAGAGATTTCTTCTGTGCGTTGTTGAACAATAAAAATAGCGCTAAATTTACATGCCAATGGCTGCCAATGGGGAATGAGAAACAGGAGCCTTCGGCATTTAGTTAACGCGCACGCTGCGATCCCCATTAGCAGCCATTGGCATGTGAATTGAGCACTATCTGACAAGAAAGGGTTGCTACGTTATACTCGCTGGGTGTAACCTCCTAAGTTTTAGAAAGGTTTAGCGAGCGTCGAGCCGCAGTGCCATGCATACACTGAACTAGTATATACCATGAACTCGAGGTGGTTAAAGGTGGGTAGTAGACCCGAAGCAGAAGCCTTAAGAAAGTGTGCGTGTGCCGCTTCTCGTTTAGTCACGGTGGTGACACCTGCCCGTCGCTTTTCGTTCTACACCTTATCACCTTCGAGACTGGCGCGCATCTTTCTCCGTGTCTGACTTGTGTCTAACGTGCCTAGACATGCTCGCTCACCTCCGCCACACGCTCGAGGCACTCTGACGCAGTGCCTGAGAATACCATTCATCAATTTTCTTGCGAAGAACATCAAATAAACGTTTTGTTCACTCTCTCCAGACGGAAGACTATCGTCTTTCGACGACATTTACTGTGTAACATGTAGATCCGGGCCAATTTGTTGGCTTCATTTGGTAACACGTGATTTTTAGTATCACTCGTTTTAGGCACCGACGGTCAATTTCTTCACTGAATGAGGCTCCTGAAGCTTTCACCTTTCAGAAAAAAAAGACAGGAAAAAACTGCCTAAACGCTGAAAAGCTTTTTTTCCGGTGTGGATCACTTATTGGGTAAGTAGGTACAGGCGCATTGTTTGGTCAGTACCATGTCATTCTTTACTGCGTGACTGCTTGATATTCAGCCGATAGTCCTTCCCACCACTTTCTGTGTTCATGCTCAACCCGCCGCCCTCTACCGAGGCGGGTTCTGCGGGACACATCGGCATTTGAACGGGGTTTGGTAGGCTGATATCGGTGCGACCCATCTTTGACGTCACGCGGCCGTTTTTGCAGCGAGCTATCGTTGCGCAGGAAAGATGGGGCAGCGGTGAATCACGCTTATCTCACTTACCGACAGCGGGTCGCACCGAGCACCTGGGCATGACGGTGCGTAATGCGGTATACGCATGTGCTTGGCCGGACATGCTTACCCTCGACACAAGCGACGCCTGTACTGCTCACGTATCGGGAACGTAGCTCGGTTCTGCAGTTTAGGTAACGCGAGGATTAAAAGTGGTGCTTTGCTTTAGCTCGTGGTGGAAGCGTTTTTCCTTGCGAGTGCGGTGGCTAAATAACTATAGCGGTGCCGGCTGACGTTCATGTGAAGCCCTCGAGTTCGCCATTCCTTCACTCTCTCGGTCTGCCATTACATGTGTTTCCGCATTTCAGTGCATCGCGCCGCTCGTCTTCTGCGGGAACACTGTGAATTCTTAATGAACAGAGGCAAGCGGAGGGGAGAACTATGGCCCTTTTGCTACGCTACGTTTAGTACACTGGGACTGAATAACAGTGCGAGTCTACAAGGCAGCTTGTTTTTACTCGACGGCAGCCTACCTTGCAAACAGTCGGACACTGGTGGTCTGCTTCACGGTGCGTCGCTTTCATTCGTTGTGAAAGAAAGAAAGGTAAGTCTGACGCCTCGTTTTTTTTTTGTCTCAATAATGATATCTAGCAGACAGTGATTCAAAGTTTGCGCTTTCGCTTGCACTTATCGGGGCTGTTGTCTGGGTTAAATTGAAAACGTAGTGTCGTGTCTAGTTTTTACTTCATTCATTCTTTCTCGAAAGTTTTATTGTCATTATTAAAGTATAGTAATGAAGAAGTTTATTGTGTTCGATGTGTCGCTAAAACAGAAAGAAAGAGAAAGCATAGTACTTGCGCTTATGCCGCCTTTGCAGTGTTGATTCTGAAAAATACAAAGAAAAATAAAGCCCAACACAGCACACATGCGCAGAAGGAAGCACATCATATTCATGGAAGAACATCATAGAAGGAAGAACACCACAAGTCACCATTCCGCCTCGCTCAAGCGTAATTATTTCAGTCGGCGCTCCTAAATCACCTGACTTGGAAGGCGTCATTGAAGGAAGTCAGCATCTGTTGGTCACCCGAAATATTTGCGTCGCAAGAGGAATTGCAGAGCTGCGGGGAAGCAAAGCAACGGTTATGCTCACGAATTTCAGCAATGAGTACAAACATGTGAACAAAGGAACAACGGTCGCATACATCGAAGAAATTGTCGAAGCCACCAGTGCTTTCGCCCTCGCCGATTCTGCGGAACCTGCTCAGAGGAACCAAGCCCCTCCCATAGCTTTCGACGCGAGAACGTGAGGCCATGAAGAGACAAGTTGATCGAAGGCCGACGCGGCGTTCGCCGCTATCAGTCCGAGACTGCTATCTGTGCAAGACTGCTGCTGTAATTAGACTTTCCCTTTACCGGGCACAGGTTCGCCCAAATAAACAGTTGAATCCCAACATGAAGTTTCCTGTCTTCGGCCACGTCACGACCCCGTGACATCTGGTCGCGACATCTGTCATCTGGTCACGGGGTCGTGACGTGGCCGAAGACAGGAAACTTCGTGTTGGGATTTAACTGTTTATTTGGGCGAACCTGTGCCCGGTAAAGGGAAAGTCTAATCACAGCTGCAGTCTTGCACAGATAGCAGTCTCGGACTGATAGCGGCGAACGCAGCGTCGGCCTTCGATCAACAACTGACAAGCGGCGAAGCGCGTCGGCATTTATACTCTTGCCGTCGAATGTTCTAGCGTTATCGCTGGCGGTGGCGTAGGTTCCAGAACAATCTGTACCGTTCGCACAGTGGGCGTGATCTTATCGAAATGATCTACTACAGTCCGGAACCTTCTCGAAAACTGCAGGCACAGTTTGCGCTGAGAATCGTGTGGTGTTTTGGGACGATAACAAAAACTTGGGAAATGGAACGTGGCATTGCACCCCTCTGAAAAAAAGGCATCGTCCCGATGCTTTAACTAAAGATGAATGTACAATAATAATGCAAGAAAGTACAATGAATAAATCACGATACAACAATAATACAAAAAACTGTTTCAGTTTGTTAACGCGCATGAAACGGATTGAGGCGCGCGACATGGACGACTTCAGGTCACGATCGGCGTCGTTGAGAGTTCGTGATGCCGTCGGGGAAAACCTCGTAAACAAGTGGGCCGAGACGTCGAACCACCCTGTACGGTCCGAAGTACCGTCGCAGAAGCTTTTCACTTAGTCCACGTCGGCGTATCGGCGTCCACACCCAAACACGTTCACCGGGCTGGTATTCCACGAAGCGTCGTCGAAGGTTGTAACGGTGGCTGTCGGTCGTCTGTTGATTCTTGATACGGAGACGCACAAGTTGTCGGGCTTCTTCGGCACGTTGAAGGTACTCGATCACATCGAGGTTTTCTTCGTCGGTGACGTTGGGTAACATGGCATCGAGCGTCGTTGCCGGGCTCCTTTCGTAGGCCAATTTGTATGGAGATATCTGCGTCGTCTCCTGCACCGCCGTGTTGTATGCAAAGGTCACATACGGAAGAAT